CCCGTTTTTTTTATTTGATTAAAATAGTGATTATGAGTTGTAAAGCCCGTCATATGACATCATATAAAACGAAGAATGATACCCTTATTTCGCCACTACGGGGAAATAACCCGTTAGATACCCGTTCATCATGGGCCCGAAGGGGATGTACCTCTTATTCCCGCCGCAGCGGAAAATAAATAAAATAAATAGTACCTAATGCAAAAAATCTTTACTATGATTCTTACTATATTAAAAAAAGTCATAAGTCATATCAATCTTCGTTATGACCAAATGACCCACACTGGCCATGGCCGACCGGATAGATTTGCAGAGAAACAAAAATTCAGCAGATCGGCCCGAATTATGGGTCGGATTGCACCGGTATTGATTAATTTTGCCCAAGGTCACTCAAAATTTTACTAATAAAGCCATAGCCTACTCACTAAGTAAAGCTGCCCAGATAATAATTTTGGTATAATACAGTTGTAGTTATTTCTTAATACTGGCCTAAATCCGATGAAATCCGATCTATAATTCGGGCCGATCTGCTGAATTTTTGTTTCTATCCTGATCGGTCATGACACGACCGAACCCATCCATAATCGAGATCCAAACTTGATTTTGATTTTCAATTAGAAGAATGTGATCATTATGTAATGAAATCATTCGATTATCGCATCAAGATTTTGTGGACGAACGCAAAACCCGTACTTTGTACTACGTTCCGGTAAACGTTTATTTTAAAGAATTGCAGATAACAAAAAACTCATACCTGAAATCGTTTGCACTCTAAAAAAAAACAAAAATTTCTGCATTGATATGGCTCCTCTTCGAGCATGACCCTGATCCAACGTAAGATCTTGTCACTTTAAAAGCTTCCCCTAGCCTAGATCATCTTAGAGTTTGGAGGCGGTTTTAATTTTCACATGTTTAAACCGGTTTTAATTGTGTTTAACGTACAGTATGAAAAAATAAAAAAGGTAGATCATCTGATCAGGGCTGTGTACAGAACATAAAATCGGAACAACCAATCAGAATCAAGATTTTGTGGACGAACGCAAAAAATGGATTAAACCATACACTACGTTCCTGGTATTAGGGGTAGCTGCGCGACGCAGTCGCGTTAGAACCAGGAACGTGGAATAATAGGTTTCGGTTGAAGCAAAATAACTCAAGTTAGGGCCACACAAAGTTAATTTTTCGTTTTGCATAACCCGCCGACTCAATTTTTCCAAAAAAATTGGGTTTTTTTTTTTTAAATTCCTATTGTGCCAATTATTCCATTTTTACTAATTAATTTTTTTCTCCGGTGTCACCCGATGACGACCTTAATTTTCCGGAAGTACCCGATAGGTCCCGAAAAAAAAAATTCAAAATTTTCTGATTCCACGTTATGCAAACCGAAGAATTAACTTTGCGCAACCTTAGATGTGAACATGAATTAATTTAGGCCAATCAAAGTTAATTTTTTTTTAAAAAAAAAAAAAAAAAAAAAAAATCCGACCCGCCGACCGGAATTTTGAAACACCAGGTTATGCAAAACGAAAATTTAACTTTGCGTGGCCTAGCCATGCGTTAAATCTATCGACTCGGGAGTCTCATATCTGTGCTTACAATACCATACGGCACAAGAATCTAACTCCCATGTGAAGCAAGAATCCAACTCCCACACAGCGCAAGAATTCACGTTCGGCGAAGTCTAAAAACCCCAAGAAAAAAAAGAAAGTTAGTAACAAAACTAACAAGACAAAAAAAAAAAAAAATAAATTAAATTATTACCTTACCTAAAAACGTCGCGCGCATGTTTCCCAGTGCTGATTCCCGTTCGGCAAAGCTTAAAAACCCAAAGAAAAAAAAAATTAGTAACAAGGCTAAAAAAAAAAAAAAAAAAAAAAAAAAAAATCGTAATAAGTCTAAAAAAGGTCAAAAAAAGAAAACCAAATACTTTACCCGAAATGTCGCTTGCACATTTGCCTGGTGCTGATTAGGGATGGGCAAATCGACGATTTTTTGAAAATACTGCGCAGCCTGCACAGGCCTGCATTATGGCTAATGCGGGCCAAAATTTCTAAATTCTGTAGTTTCCGGTATATTCCGGCCTTCCGAAATATTCCGCCTGCGCAGCGGCCCATCACTAGTGCTGATTCACTTTTCGGCGAAACCTAACGCTAAAAAATCTAAAAAAAAAAAAGATCTGTATGACCCTAATTTACATAATTATCACATTTGCAAATTCCCCACAAGTCATTTTCTTCTCACACAAGCACAAAAATATTTTACGATCATATCCAATATAATTTTTTTTCTCACAATCATATCCTTTCAAACCACCAAGTATGCACTATGAAGTAATTATGACATTAATGCAACAAGTATCATGTGTGGCTTCGATAACGGTTCTTAACTTCTACTATAAACGGATAAATGAAAATCATAACTTTTACTAAAACAAAATCGGGCATAGCGTACATTACTTGATTTAATTTTTTAAATCAAATTATTTTTTTTGTTTTTTTTTCAGATCAACTAAAAAAGCCAGTATGCTACTTTTTTACAAAGCATTTTTTATATAAATTTATATATAAAATTAAGATATACCATATAATAAGTACAGTTGCTAAGTATCCTATATTTGAAATATAAATATTACTAAAATACACCTATGGTGTTAAACACTATAGTGCTGTGCTATGCTATCTCAAAAATTGGCTAAATAATTAATACTTGTAACTTAAGTAAAAATGTTTATAACCCCAAAATCTTATGTTGTTCCTCTAATACTAAACCCTAACCTTAACCTATAAACAACATCTTAATCCAATTCTAACCAATAAAAGAATTATTTGGTGTTAAACATCATAGGTGCATTTTATATTATTTGTAATAATCTATATATGTTCAATGCGTTTAACATTACGTGATTTTGTTGCATCGTTCAACCAACGGGTCAAAGCACCTGAGCTTATTAAATTGAAAATAAATTGGGGAAAGCTCAAGTAGTATGATCTTTGTCCAAGCCTATTTAAGATCACTGAAGATTCTAGCCAATTGTTTCGGAAGTTTCTTATTTGCGAAATCCAATAATTTGTCAGATATACAGGGACACATGCGGCGCAATAAACCATTAAGAAGATAACATACTAAAATTAAAAGGGTAGCAAAAAGGGATTTTACAATGAAAATGACTACATAAACAGAAAATAAAGTTATTTAGAATGCTAACGATAACATTACGCCATTATTTAAAAGAAAAATTACAAACCTGGATGTTCATCGTAAAATTGTTCAATAACACTCAATAAATAACGACCAACCGTTCTGTTATCTGATGCATTATAATCATTCTTTAAGGTGCATTTGTTTAATTACAAGATTTAGATTAAGAAACAATATACATATTTTTAAACTAAAATAGAGCAAATATAATTACCTGATTAGGGTCTAAAAAATTTCAAAGTTTAAGTTAAAAACATAACTGTCTGTTATCTAATAAAAATCAATTCGAAATAACATCTATTTATTGAAAGTAAATGTTTTACCTAATTCAGCAGGAATTTTTTCACCCAATAAAATATCATCTTCATGTATCAATTCGTAAACACGATTAATGTCAGGCCGCTTGCTTGGATTATCATCCCAACATTTCTCATAGAGCTTTACGTATGAGAGAGTGGATCCAGCCACTGGTTTTTCACGTTTGCCAAATAAAATTTTCACTAAATCTGCACGCAAATTTGCTTTCGATATTCCTTGGCCATTACTTGAAATATCCCACATTATCACTCCAAGACTATATATATCAGAAGGATAATCATAAATTTCCCCAAACCTTTTTTGAAATTCAATGAATATAATGGGATCCATGAAATGAAAACGTGCTTTTACACGTTGATTTGATATACTATTGCGCGAAACGACTCTGGAAAGCCCAAAATCAGTAATAACCGCTCTAATACCAAATTTGTTACTACTATCGCTCTTAATAACCACATTTCCCGTGTGCTAAAATTAAGTAAGATTAGTGCCTTTCAAGATGTTGAATATATAGTTAATGAGACAAACTTCCACATTATTGCATGCCTCATTTCAATGCCATAATGCAAAATTACGGCAATATAAGTCACAATACAAAGTTATAATGCCGCAATTTAATGATTTTGCCATCAATAATAGTTGTAAAAAACAAATATTTGAGAATATAAAACTTACTAAATCACGGTGCAAAATTTCATTTTTGTGTAGGAAACGAAGACCACATATTATATGTCGTACAATCTCAACTTTTTGATCCCACTCTAAGCAGTTTTGAATTAAATAATTGTGTAAGTCACCTATATCTGCGTATTCCAATACTAGGAAAAACTTTTCCTCATTAGAAAGTGCTAAATATAACGAAAGGTTATAAGTATCATAATATATTAATAAAGGACTATTAATTAAGGATTGGAACCGTTTAACATATAATAACCAATACACTGTATGTTATTTACATAACACTCCGTTTCTGGCATAAAATGATCCCACAATTTTTGGTCAAATTATGTTGATCATTGGTCAAAGTTTATCGATAATGCTATTAATGTCGGTTGAATTAACAATTGAAGATTTTAGGTACGTAGTTCCAATCCCTATTATAAACATAGTGTACATACAATTTTCAGAGTTCAGACTAAAGTTGGCAATGAAAAAAAATCTTTTATATTTAGCATCTATTAGACTGTATTTGAGTGATCATGTAATTGTCGTGACTGAAGTTGGGATCCGACTAAAGTTGGAACTTCAGTTGACTGAAAAACCTAAAACAGCTAACTAATGCGTGCAGGATGATCTAATTTCAGGGGCTAATTTCAGTCAGGTGCAACTTTAGTCAACTGAGGTTCCAACTTTAGTCGGATTCCAACTTTAGTCACGACATAATCATCATCATACCTTGATATGCCCAAAAACTCAATGATATATTTGTGATCTGTATCATTTATATTATTATTTACAGAATGAAATGCTTTAATCTACACAAATTTAATACAAATATCAATTATTGTACGTTTAAAGAAATGAAGAAATAGCGAACCAATTTTACCTCTTTAACAAGCTCTTCATGTTCAGATTCTTCTATTCTTGGTTCTTCAGGCAAAATTTGTTTTAAGACTACGACCCTATTCTTAGTCGTCCACCAAGCTTTCTGAATAACGCTTGAACTTCCAGTGGTAAGAGATCTAGGATTCTCAAACTCTTCATAATTAATTGAATTAATATAATTTTCTTCAGCCATCATCCTTCTAATCCAATTTCTTCTAGATTTTCCATCATGCCCAGTAAGTGAAATCCCGCCGAGAGGGGGATTTGGTTGTTCTGACAACATATCTGACAGCATAATTTCAAAAGAAAAAATCTGAAAGAAATTAAGTTTTGTGCAAATATTCGTAAATGCAATATATAAATCTTAATGCACGTAAATGTAACATATAAATCTTAATGTACTAGAAATCTGTGTAACACAAACCCCAACAAAAAATCATTATATAATTATTGTCGCGGATTACGTACGTACGTACGATGTAAAATAAAGTCAAATTAAAATGAAATTCGAGATTTCTTTTTAATAACCTAAAACACACTTATACTTGTTTATTATAAATTCTACATTTGACCCATATGCTAAAAAGATTCACCCCAAAAATTTGTATTTTTTTTTTTAGTGGTTTATATATTTTAAACTACATATATAAAATTTCAATTTAATCAGTTGTGAATTTCCGATAGTACAGTATATACGAGATACAGTATATACGAGATTTATTTATATTTGATACTTAATTCTTTCCATTTTGCCATTGTAATTTATAAACTAATTAATAAAATTACAGGCTTTGGATGCTCCTCTTTATTAGTTATTAAGGAAGTGGAGGTTTGGAGTCTTTTTGTCTTTATTTTACGCAATTTGCCAGTTCTTCATTTTAATGTTTGCTAGTCAACTTTTTGTTTATTTTGAATGAAATTTAAATGGAGGTCCACACTTACAAATTTCTTACCAATAAAAATTTTAAACATTATCCGTTGAATCTAGAATATAGTAAAATGTATTATCAAGCATATCGCCACTACAATATTAAAATAAATTGTTTTAAATTAACATATTTATTTCAATTAATAACTTTAAATATTACAATATTTTAGCATTGAAATTCTAAAGAGCGACAAAGTAAATTATAAAAAAGAAAAAAGACATTTGTGAAACATTTTATTCCCACAATCATGACGAAATTATTATTAGTTAATGGGAATTTGAGAAATTAATGCTTGAAAAATTCTATGAACAATCCTTTAGAACGCAAACCATCTGCACCACATTTTTGATACGTTTAGATGTACCCTATAATTTCTATTTTGATCGTCACGTGATGATTTAAATACGCGAGCACTCTTAAAAAAAATTTATGTAAATGTTTTTAAACCATTTACTTTAAAAATGATGTATTTAAATTGTTTTACGCAAATTATGCTTTCTTTAAAACTTAATATGAACATCGTTTAAAATACAACTTTTCGCATGTAAACTCCAAACATGAACAACAAAAAGGCTCAGGCATGTGCGTGGCTATAATTTTTTAGTTGTGAACATCTAGATTATATAACCTTCATTAAAGCCTTATATGAATTTAAAAAAAAATTGAATACGAAACTTAATTTCTTTCAGATTTTTTCTTTTGAAATTATGCTGTCAGATA